GCTTCGTCAAGGGATCTATGGATTGGGCTTCCTTTGACAAGACCACCCCGAACCCAGATGCCCCGGTCGGTACGCCGCAGCATCATCTTAAGGCGCGAGAAGGAGTTTGGCATGCTATCTGGGAGCCCATGCAGGAGCACCCTGACGATCCTTGCCTGGCCCTGGATTTCCCGCCGTTTCCGCCCGACTGCCTTGCATCCTTGCCCCACCCGTCTTTGGACAAGTACAGGCAGATGTGTCGCAGGTACAAAGCTCGTACGTCGGCCGGACTGGACTCTATGCATCCACGTCATCACGCGCTGCTTTCTGACTCATCTCTTCTTGCCTTGTTTGGTATCTGGCGTGCTGTCCTGAGATTGGGTAGATTTCCTCCCATTCTCGCTGTGTTCACCATGAATTTGATCCCGAAGGCTGATGGTGGCGAGCGTACGGTTGTCCTATTCACGTCGTGTGTGCGCACGTTCTCTCGGTTCTTCAGGCACACGTACGGTGCTATGTGGACGCGCGTGCATCCTCGTCCGTACGTATCTGGTGTGCGCGGCCATTCCTGCCAAGCATGCGTGTGGCGCATGGGCGTGCTCACGGAGTTGGCTTGCGCCAAAGGTTTGTCTTTGTTTGCACTATTGCTCGACATCCAGAAGGCTTTTGAACAGGTTCGCCATAAACTTCTCATAAGACGTGCTAGTGAGTTTGGCTTTCATCCTGCTCTCTTGAGGGTTTTCCTGTCTCTGTACCGTCCCCCACGTGTTGTCACGCTGCGGCGAATCGTTGGGGAGCGGGTCAGAGCTAGCAAGACTATTGTGGCAGGTTGCTCATTTGCCGATCTGTTTATGCGTATTTTATTGATGCCCGAGCTGGATTCGTTTCATCAGTCATATCCTAATATGCACCTCGGCCTCGTCGCCGACGACGTCCAAGTCCTGGGGATAGGCTCGGAGAGGGAGTTGCTCAAAATCGGTCCCGATGCGTCGCGCCTTTTGATGAGCAAGCTGACTTTCTCTGCATATTTACCGCTCTCCGAGAAGAAAATCGCGCTCTTGGCTACCGACCCCCAGTTGGCCCAGAGCATCGCAGTTGAAACTCCACGTCTCGCTGGTGCTGTCAAGTTCTCGTGTCGCAACCTCGGGATTGACTACCAGTTACGTAAGGGGCGTCGTTCTCGTACCGTTCTCACTGGTCGATTAAAAAAGGCCAGGTTTAAGGCCCGACGCCTACTGAAGATGAAGAAGGCTGGCGCAAAGGTTGCAGGTATTGTTAACACTAACTTGCGGCCCACTGTCATGTACGGCATTGATGTCGTTGGTCTATCTACTCATCAGATTCGTCAGGTTCGTGCTATATACCACGCTGGTCTCGGCACAGGTCAGGTAAGCGCAGGTCTGTCACGATGGATTTGGCGTTGCACGGTGTTACCGACCCTGCTATTGACGCACATGTCGATGTCATTCGCCTCTGGACCGTCTCTAGATGGGACTCTCTTCTTCCCGTCGGAATGATAGACCAAGTTTTCCAGTTTGCCTACGCCAAGGTGACGCCAGATACCCCGTGGACTGAATTACAGGGCCCAGGACAGATTTTGGTTGCCACTATGTTTTGAATTGGGTGGTCTGCGGTTTCGCCCACATTATGGCGAACTTCTCTTGGAACGGAGGTTGATATTCCGTCTACTTCCCCTCGTGAGGTGGTTGCACTAGTGATTCGCGACGCGTCTGTTTGGGCTTGGAAACAGGCCTCTGGGCGTCACCCATCCTTCAGTCATCTGTCTGGACCCCCCTTTCTTCCCCCTCTTCTTTCTTTGTTGTCTAAAAAGACTGAAGGATGGGGTGTCCTCCAGCAACGTGCCCTGAGGACTTTTATATTTGGAGGCATATACTTTAAACCTATGTGCCTCATTTGCCAGGTTGTCCCTTCTGACCCCGTGTTTCACACCCTGTATGAGTGTGATGGGCTTGTGGAGTTTCGTCGTTGGTTCGGCCCGACTCCTGTCCTCACCCGTTGCATAGAGCAGTACCGCGAGGACCTTGTCTGGACCACTGCCATGGTTCCCGACCCGCGTTGTTGCTCCCTGCTGGCGCCACCTTTCCCAGACCCTGTCTGGGAAGGGGCCACAGACGGCCCCTTTGTTCTCGTCGCCTGCGTACGGAGACGGCTCGGGAAAGCATGGCCCCTCGCCGCTCACTCTCCGTTGTGGATGGGGTGTTTGCTCATTTGCTCCGCGTAGTCGAAATGTTTTTGGTGGGCCCGTCGCCAATGATCGGCTTCGGCTTAGTGCTGGTGCTTATGGCGTATATCCATTTCTCACCCAGGATTTTCCAGGGGCTGAGCTTTACGCGTTTTTGTTTTATCTAACCCATGCTGCCCCCTCCGACTGCTATGAGTTTGTCACTGATGCCCAGTATGTCGTCGATGGTTGGGCAATGGGGTATGAAGCTACCACGCACGGATGGGCCACTCACGCATCCTTGTGGGTCCGTGTCCACCGTGCGGCTTCAGATACCGGGTATCACCTAGTTAAGGTCGCCAAGGTTCGTGGCCACTCTTTTTCTGTGGGTAATAAGCAAGCCGACAGACTTGCTAACCTAGGTGCAGACCTACACACTCTGGACACGGTACTGCACGACCGTATCAAGCGCTCTGGTGTGCTGGTGCGCAATCTTGGTGTATATATCGGTCACTGTATAACATGGAATTTTATGAATGTGCCCAAAAAGGTCTGGGCGGCGGAGTCTGATGAGTCCCCTGCCCCCACGGCCCCATCCCTAGTCCTCTCTGGTGCCTCCTCTGGGGCCTTGCATGAGCACTTCTGGGACCCCTCAGCGGGTCGTTTTCGTTGTGTGAATTGTTGGGCTGGTTCAGTCTCCAAGAGCTACTTATTGCGTTCGCAGTGCTCTTCTCCCACTGGTGGTGGGCACGTGCTCAGGCGGCTAAATAATATCATATGTTGTCGACGATGTGGCCGCTACTCTTGCAAGAAGGCAGTTGGTTTAACTAAATCATGCACTGGGCCCCCTCGGGCCTCTGGCACCATCTCGCGGCTTCGGCGCATGTGTGATGGTCGTGACCCCCGCACTGATCAACCAGTCGGTGAGGTAACTGTTGACAACGTCAACGTTATATATGCTTTTCCTGCCCCTCACGATGTCTTTAATTTTCAGGCATTGTTTGATCCTGCATGGCGTTTAGAGGCTCCGTAGATTTCTCGGGCTTCGGAGGAGGGGTGGATGCATCCTGGGTTATCTGGTTTGTCTCGTCTGTCTGATGCTGGCAGGACTACTCGGATCCCCGACACCAGCCGCCAGTAGTGTTGTTTTGCAGTACTCCCTTTCCTGGCCGCTACAGAGGACAGCTTCCAGGAAGTAGGGTAGGCTTGGGATAAGTGGGCACAGAGGCGCTGAGAACCAGGCACCCGTTCCGCCTGCGCCCACTTATCCCGTCTGCGCTCTTGCCAGCCATCCCCTGGCCAGGCTCGCAAAGAGAGCAGACTCTCGCCTGCCCGCCGCGCGGGGATTTTGCACGCCTCTTTGCACGCCTCTCTGTCTGTGCTTTCTCTCTTACAGTTGGACAGTCGGACAGTGGGGTAGGATTGGGATAAGTGGGTACAGAGGCGCTGAGAAGCAGGCACCCGTTCCGCCTGCGCCCGCTTATCCCTTCTGTGCTCTTGTCATTCCTCCCCTGGCCAGGCTCGCAAAGAGAGAAGACTCTTGCCCGCCCGCCGCTTGGGGATTTTGTGCACGGCTCTCTGTCTGCGCTTTCTCTCTTACAGTTGGACAGTCGGACAGTAGGGTAGGCTTGGGATAAGTGGGTACAGAGGCGCTGAGAAGCAGGCACCCGTTCCGCCTGCGCCCACTTATCCCTTCTGTGCTCTTGTCATTCCTCCCCTGGCCAGGCTCGCAAAGAGAGAAGATTATTGCCCGCCCGCCGCTTGGGGTTTTTCTGTGCATGCCTCTCTGTCTATGCTTTCTCTCTACAGTCGGACAGTCGGACATAGGCTAGGCTTAGGATGAGCGGGTACAGAGGCGCTGAGAAGCAGGCACCCGCACCGCCTGCGCCCACTCATCCCTCACGCGCTCCTCCCCCCCCCCCCCCCAGCCCAGGCTCGCGAAGAGAGGAAGGGCTCTCCGCCGCCTTGCTGGTCTGTTGTATAATGTGCTGCCTGGCAGGTTGAGGCTGGAAGCCCAGGAGCCAGGACGCGGGCTTCAAATTGTCTCACCAGTCTTGCCAGCATCGCGTGTTTCGGGCCCTCGATTTTTCGTAGTCCCTGTTTGCTCGGGTCGGTCCCTCGCTTGGCTCTGTTCGGGTCCTGGTCCGTCCCTCGCTTCTTTCGGCCCTTCTTCGGGCCCCTCGCTCGTCGTTTCGGCGCCGCGGGCAGGAGTGTTCGGCAGACGATCACCCGCGCGCAAATCAAACATCAAAAATGAATGTGTGAATGTGTGTGTGTGTGTCTGAGTGAGTGCGCGCGTGTGGTGTGTCAGGAATGGTGTGGGTGTGCTAGGTGATATTGATGGTGACACTGATGTTGGCGTTGATGATGGTGGTGTGATGATGACGGTGATGGTGGTAGGGACAGTGATGAGTGTGATGATGGTGGTGTTGATGATGATGTTGAGTCGTACTGCGACGATGATGGTAATTGTTTCTGGTACGATGATGCGAATTGTTTCTGGTGGTGAGGATGGTGACGACGAGGGTGATAATGATGGTTGTGGTGATGATAATAGTGATGGTGCGCGCTGCGTTCCTGGCTTCCTGGTTCGTGCGCGGGTTGTCCAGAGAAAAGAAATATCCCTGCCTGCCCAGCCCCCTCCTACCCCTCCTCATCCTCCACTCCCCCCTCCCTCCTCTCCCTCCCCTCTCACCCTTCCTCCGCCCCTCCCCCCCTCTCCCCATCCCTCTCCCACTGGTCCTCCTCCATGTCACCCCTCTTCCTCGATCACGCTCCTCCCCTCCGATGCCCCTCCCCTCCCTTCCCCCCGCCCCCACCCCCCCCGCCGCGCGCCGAGGAGCTCGGAGACAGCCTGCAGAACCAGTTCCCCGCCCGGAAGTGGCAGTACATGCAGGAAGCGCGCGTGGCGCGCGGCAGGCCAGAGGCGCCCGTCGGGGCCGGGGTCGAGGCCAGCACCTCCCCGCCGCACAGCTCACAGGTCCTTCCGTGATGCGACTGCGCCGCCCCGCGGGCGTTTTCTCTCTGCCCGCGTGCCGGGAGTGGAGCTGTCGAGCCACCCCGACGGCGCCAGGACCCTGGGGTGTGCCCTTGGCACCGGTCTGCTGGGACGAGCCAGCCTGGCCGCTCACGGCCGTCCTCCCGCTTTCACCGCCGCTGCGATCAACAGAGCGGGCTCAGTCCCAGCGTTGTTGCTGTTCCTCCGCTTCCGGCTCCTGGGGGCCGCTGGCGGGCAGCGGCTACGCTCCCGCTGGGGCCGTCAAAGAGGCTGGATCCAGCGGCCCCCGGGAAGGGGGCGCGGGCCCTTCACTACCAACCAAACCACCCAACCCAACCCAACCCGACGGCCCCAACTTGCCCTCCATTCCCAGTGGGGGGGGCATCCCGATATCGAACCCGTACGCCCCCCATCCCGACATTCGGGACTTCGGGTTAGGTAGGGGCTGTCTGGTAGCTAGGGACCCCGCATGGAAAAAAACACTACACTGGAGGTCTGGGGTTCGACGGCCGAGGTTCTTCAGCGGGTTTACCGCTTAATGGACACTCGGAGGCCACTTGATGACGGTCAGGACGTGCGAATAGCCCAATGACAGTTCCACGGATAGTGCATAGTTTATCTCGGCCTTCAGTGCATCCCCTGCGTCGCATTGAATGGCCGTCCGTGGACAAGCACACTTTGGCGCTATCACGCTTTCTGAAGATTACTGGGCCTCAGGAAACCTCCAGGGACCTCCAGGGAGACCTATGGAGGCCTCTAGAGGCGAAACAAACGTTGACGCTAACATACGTTTGTGAACAAGCACACGTTGACGCCAACATACTTTCTGAAGATCATGCAGCCTCTGGAACGACACAGACATCATGGCGACGGGGCTAGACGGTCCGAAACCGTCCTTGGATGCGTGCTCGGGACACACCCACGACCTACCCACCGACCGACGCGCGACCCACCCTGCGCCCCTAATCGCTTTTCTCTGTCACTGCGGGGTGCTACGTAAATTGTCACAGGTCCGCACCGACCCTGGCGCGCTAAGCGCGCCAGAGGTGGCGCTAGGGTCGCCGCCAGGGGGTCAGCGCCGAAAATCGCGCGGACCCCCGAAAATTGTTAGCGCTTCTTGCTTCCTCACCAGCCCATTCAAACGATGCCCAGACAGAAGACACCCGTTAAACGAAAGCTGGCGAGCAGACCATTCAGGCCTAATAGTCAGTTATATGTGATATCGTTTTATTGATGGAGGGAGCAGGGTGGCGGCTGGAACGCCTCGTCCCGAAGGAGGGGAGGAGGAGGGGGATGGGAAAGGGGGGAAGAACAGCCTAGGTGCGCTCGCGTCTCATCTAACATCCTATCCCTTCCTCCCATCCTTTCTCATGATTGCGCTGATAGTCTCTATATCCGCGCACGCGTTTCATAGCCGACTTGAAACTCGAACAAAAAGACCACATCGTGTTATGCGCAATCGGAAAAGGGGGAACTACGTCCGCAGGAGGAGGAGGTGACGGTGAATAGGAGGATGAGCGGGAAGAAAAGAACAAGGACGAACAGCAGCAGCAGCAGCAGCATCAGGAAATTGAGTGGAAGGAGCCGGAGGAACAAGATTTAGATGAAGAAGAGTTGCCCGCGCTTGGGCGAGATCTAAGCGACGGGAGCAAAGCGCCGATCCGATAATGAGGCCCACGCTCCAGCGGGAGCACCATTTTGGAGCACCGAAAACAATCGGCTCGAAAAACACCTCAAGACAAATCAAACATTGAAATCTTGTGGTTCCACCAAAAAGCGCGGAAAGGGCATGTTATCTTCCGGACGGTATCAGGGGAGAGAGGAGGAGAGTAGCATTTAGATTGTTGCGTTGTGGACGAGGAGGCGGAGGAGGAGGGGAAGGAGGGGAAGGAGGAGGAGGATCAGGAGAAGTTGGGAGGCAGAGGGGTGGCATGTTTTCTTCCCGGAGAAGTAGAAGCTGGTAACAGTGGGGACTCCAGAGACGGGGGTCAATGCAAACGGGGGTCAGTCAGAGCGCCAAATCCTGCAGGATCTTGCAGAGACAAGGGTGCATTGACCCGGGCTTGAGTGTAGGATCCTGTCAAGTAGATCCCCGAAATTGGTGTGGGGGCGTCTGGGTGCCATCTTTGTGATCGCTTGGTGGAACCATCTTGGAGGGCATCGGTCAAAGTTGGAGACCACCTTGAGCAATCTAGAGCCCTCTCGGAACCATCGTGGAGTCCTCTTGTCGCGAGGGTCTCGTGGGGTTCTCTCTGTGGCCCTGGAGGCCCTCTTGGGGCCAGCCTGGAGGACATCGATCAACGAGGGAGGGGTCTTACTTAGCGCTGCCTCTGTTGAGTCCCAAGAGTCGTCTCTTAGGCGTTCTTCGGCGACTCTTGGGCATCCTTGGGGCCGTCTTGGAGCCCTCTCTCAGGCCATCTTTGAGCTATCTTGAGGTCCCAGAAGCCCACCTAAAGTGAAACGGCGAATATGAAACATACGGCCCCCTTCGGTTTTGGAAGGATATTCGCCTGTCGGGTGTGTCCTTGGGGTGCTCCGTTGCCACTTGGAGTCGTCTTGTAGCGGACTCGGGGCAGCTTGGACCATCTTGGAAGATATGTTGAGACATTGTTGGATATCTTGATCCATCTTGCATGCGATGTGAAGGTATCTAGGACCATCTCGGGCGCTCAAGACGCTCGCGCCCAACTTCCTCATGTCCAGACCCAGGGGGAGGAGGTAAGTTGGGGGAGGGATGAAGCTACCCCAAGCCGCAAGCCGTGTCGCTCAATCCCACCCGCCCTCCCACTACAGCAGTACCAGCCGAGTCTCAGCACAGGGAGTGGCTACCATCGACAACCATCAGGAATCACTGCCAACGCCAGCCAGGTGTGCGATACCCGCGACGTGCGCCACACGCCAGGTGCGCCACGCGCACCAGGGTCACCACAACGGGCAATGTATCGACCGCCCCACAATCCTTGCCAAACTCGATGCAACATGACGGCGCGTGTGCGAGCAGTGTGTATTTTGCGCGGGCGTGTTCTTGCAATAATGTTGCAGTTGTGTTTGGCAGGGGCAGTAGGCTTGCACACAGCAGGCAGTACGCCGCCCCACCCGCCGCCCTTGGCAACGTACATACAAAGTGCGCGCCGTATGTCGTATTGCAAGTTATGGTTGAGGGGTGCTGGCGTTGCACAATGCAGGAGGCCCCCCGATAAAGACAAGAGTCAGAAGGAGTAGAGGGGAGCAAGGCACTACCGATGTTCCAACGAGGCCTTTCCCATCAACCTCCTCGCCCTTGCTCCACCTGATCCTCCTCCTCCTCGTGATCCTCCTCCTCCTCCCCATCATCGTCATCATCATCATCATCATCATCATCATCATCATCATCATCCTATGCCTCGTCGTCATCGTACCCGTCCTGATCATCCCTCCTCATTGTCCCTTGCTTCTGCACGTCATCCTCCTATTGCTTCCGACTCGCCATTATATTCCGCTTCCCCCATCGTCCTCTTCCGTATCTCGCATTCCGCATATGGTTCCTTCCGTTTCTGAGCCTTCTTCTTTCGCTACACATCGTCCAGTCGTTCCGCCCTAATTCCAGACACATACACACACACACACACACCGTCCAGTCCCTCTTTTGTGTTTGATTGGTGGGGAGAGCGGAGGCAGGGAACGGCAGCGGGGCAGAACATACAGCAACCCGCATGTATAATTCGTTTCAACATTGCCCGAATGCCGCGCTTCAGCGCGACCTCAGCCACCAACGCGTGGGTGTCCAAGTCAAGGGCCCGATCATCTGGGCACGGCCCGTCTGGCGCGATGTACGCTAAGTCCCATGGAAAGTGGAGTTCGAGCGCGTGCGCGCGACGATTCTAGTGTGTGTGTGTGCGCCTGCACATATCATTATACATGTGTATCAATAACGCCGACTGCGAACCACCGCCGCCCCCTGCCTTCTGGAAACGTCTATGTGGCCAAACGCCAAATTTCGCCAAACGTTTGGACTACGCAAGTGAAGGAGGAAGAGGAGGAGGAAGTGGAAGCAGTTGCAGCGCAAGCAGGCGTCGGTCTCTCTGCGGCCGTTTCCCTGGATCGCGTGGTGGACGCAACAGAAGCGAGCCTGACCACGGCATGCGACGGGTGGTTTGGAAAACGCTTCGCCTCGTGCCCGTGCTTTATCTCACCGCACCAGGAGCTGCAACGCGCCTACCAGATGTTGGCCATCCTGTGCGGAACCAACCACCAGTGCCTCCCCGCCTGCTTCGCCGCGGCTGTTCGTCCACGGCAGGCCCGCGAGAGTTGGAGGCGGCCAGGGGGTCTGCGCTGATAAGCTCAAGGAAAATCGGCCAAGATAGGGGGATGAAGGCAAGTTCATTAAAATTCGTTCCCCAGACCCCTCCCGGGGTCGAAGCTGACAAGCTGTTCGAGCCGCGTCCAGCCGTGACGACAAGGGGGCCTCTCATTTGGCGGCCGACTCTTGATTCTCGAGGGTGCCAGGCGTCGGCGGCACCGATGATCCAGGGCAGGTGGTGGCCGCGGAGGTCCCCAAACCGACATCCACGCATCCCATCGGGGGGAGGGGTGCCAAGTTTTACCTACCCTCGGCTCCGATTCTGCGTGCACCTTGGGTCAACCTCAGCAGCAAGAAGATCACCGCGGTTCACGCCCCTTGGCTTGAGAGTTGTTTTTCTTCAGGGGGTTGCGCGAGAGCGCGAAGATATCTGCGCTGCCCGCGTCGCGAAGCGTGTTATGTGGCGAGTTCGAGGGGTGGCGGGAGGAGAAGAAGAAGAGAAGGGGGAGCAGGAGGAGCAGGAGGAGGAGGAGGAGGAGGAGCCGCATCACCCTTGCCGCCGCGGAGCGAGAGTGGGAGAGGGGGGCGGGGCGGAGCGGGCCCCCGACCGCGGCCCAGCCCGGACTAGGTACACGGCCAGCCCCTACAACAAGATGTGGCAGGCGCATCCCCAGGGGCGATCGGGTCGGCCGGAAGGGGAGGGGGTTGCTTCATCATGGCGTGTTTCATGGTCTGCTGGCCAACGGGTTTTCAAGACCTTTGGTTGTCCTTGGCACGCGGCTGTGCCTCCTGCCGAGCTCGGCATGGGGCCTCTTGAGCCTCCTCTGGCGCAGGGTCCGCCGCGGACTCGGCCACTGGTGGCAGCGGGAAGGCTGCTTCAGGCGCCGCCGACGCCGGAGACGCAGCCGCTACCCCAGGGCCAGGATCGCGGCCGCTGGTGGAGGAAAATATAGGGCAAGCTAGCTTATGGTGACTGTTAGATCGATGACGCCTACGGCGAATCACTGCCGCCCCCTGCCTTCTGGAAACGTCCATGCGGTCAAAATTTGGTCCGAAGTCTTGCCCAGCTATTGGAATATGTGTTCCCAAGCCGTTGTGGAACCCCTGGGGGCGCTTTAGGGCCATATTGGAGGCGTCTGGGGCGCTTTAAAGTCGTCTTAGGGGGGGGTCTCTGGGGGCGTCCTGCGGGCCTCTTTGGGGGCCTCTTGGGCCGTCTTGGAGGGATCGTGGGGGCCTGTGGGCCCGTCTTGGAGCGTCGGCAGCCCGAAAAGGCGAGACTGCTGAAAGCAATTGAAAAGCCACAGGAAAATGGATGATGCTGGCCTCGTGGATGTCCTCTTGGAGCGGCCTCTTGGAACGTCTGAGGGTCATTTTGGTACGTGTTGGGGCCACCTTGGCCGTCTGGGAGACGTCTTGGGACCCTCTTGGAGGCCATCTCGTCCGTCTCGGAGGCAACGTTGGCCATCTTGGCTGTCTTGGAGGCAATCCAAGGGCCGCCTTGGGCTGGAAAGGCCTATGACCCTCAGGTTTTCCGGGTGGCCGTCGGGTTGGCCCGAGACCCCGTTGGGAGTTTTGCCAGAAAAAGGACCAACATCCCGTCAGAAGTTCAGCACGCGGTGCATGACGGAATGCGCGCGTAGCGTCGCGATCCGTTAGCTGTGGGAAATATCAGGGGGGAGTGTGAGGGGGTTGGCTTTTGCGGACCCAGATAACAACATGCGCGCCAGGCGTCGCGATCTGTTTGCCAGGAGAAATATCAGGAGGAGTGTGAGGGGGTTGGCCGTTGCGGACCCAGGTGGCGGAAAGCACGCATAGCCTCGCGATCTTTTCGGTGGGAGAAAATTTCAAGGTGGAGTGTGAGGGGGTCGGCCTCTGAACGCCCAGATCTAGTTGCCAAATGTTCTGTCATGGTCGGCCCAAGTCAGCCCCAAGAACGTGGGGTCCCCTGGGGCCGTCTTAGGCTTCGGTTGGGCTGCCTTAGGTCCATATCGGAAGTCTGGGGGCGGCATCTTTTACGGCTGTCTTGGGGAATCCGGAATATTTCGGGCCCTCTTAGGTTGGGGCCCCCTTGGCCTGCCTTGGGCCCCCCTGGGACTATTTTGAGGCTCTCTTCGGGCTGTACTGGGCCGTCGCGGGGGCCTCTTGGGGTTCCCCTTTGTGGCTGTTTTGATTGGCACCAGCCAGATCGTTTCCATTCGTTTAGGTAATTTAGGCCTTCCTGGAGGGCCCTTCGGCCTTACGTTTGGAGCTTCTTGGAGCCTTTTTGGTGCTTACCGATCATTGTTGGTCCATCTTGGCGGCGTTGATGGCCTCTCTTGGGCCTTTTGCAAGCCTTGAGCAGTTTGAGAGAGCGCCAGAAATTGACCCTGGCGGTGTAGGAGCCTCGGGGGAGGAGGCCGATGCATGCAGGTGAGTGTGAGGAGAGGGGGGGATGCCTTACAAGACCTGCAGAGCCTAAAGGACAGCACTTGGCATTCTGCCGCGCCTCATCGTGCCAACTGGTCAAGTCGGGTGTTTCGGGTGGGTTGGAAATGTCCGACATCGGAGTCATCGACCCTTGGGTTGGCCGTTGGATATTGGTCGATGCTGTTGTATTGTGTCTATTTCTCTGTCGTACATGCATGTGTCGAAACTCGGTGTTTCTCCTCTAGCCCGCTGTCGATAGCGACAAGATCACGTATGTTTAGGTTGTTTTGCTAACCATTTGTCGAGTCTGTTTCGATGCAGCCTCTGGGTGACGATGGTGCCATCCAGCTGCTTCATTCGTTTGTAGTCGTTCTGGCATTGTCTAGCCCGAGGCCAGCAATTCCACGAAAGACAAAGACACCAACAACACAGCTGCAACAACCAACAACCACAAGGACGTGCCGACCCGCGCCTGTTCTTGATATCCGCGTTCCACTCCCTTGCGTGCTGTTGGAGATGTGAGTGGATGATGCGTACCTGTATCTGACAGAATGTTGAGGAAGCTGCGTGCAGGCAGAGAATCGCCGCACGTCCATGGTTGCGTCCATAGTTAGATCTGCAATGGTGGTCCATCACGAGGTCGAAGGTTGACGGTACCGAGGCATGTCGCAGTGCTGGTGCATACGTTATGTGCGTTTGATGAGTGTACCCGTTTTTACAATTGACCACACAGCACGGACAGCATAGGTGATTCTGATAACAGGTGCTCTCGGTGGTGTGAACGAGTCGCATGTGCAGCGCAGCGAAGTGTCGGCGCCAGAGCGCGATGGTCCAGCGAGCGTGTCACACTGAGGAAGATTGATGATAAGGTAGGGGGATCGTGGGACGATGCTTTGGCATGATGGCGGGATATGTGTCGTGTGGAGCGGTGTGGGCATAATGGTGACGGTGAAGGGGGATTCGGAAGAGAAGGAATTGCAGCATGGGAAGGAAAGTGATGTGTTTACCCAAGCAGTTCGTCACTTAATGTTACATTTTGAGGACGTCGTTCTACTTTCAAATAACGGTAACCTGCGTTGAAGACTCGTGTCGAAGACAGCTACATCTGAATACGTGTCGCAGCGGTTTCAGCATAGCATGTTCAGGGCCGCAGGTCGCGCAATGTTACAGGAAGAGAGTTGATTGGTCGATTCCACAACAAACGTTCCTGCGAACTCGTTAGCCTTAGTGAGTACGGAGCCATTTAAGTGTTGGCGCTCGAAGCTTGAAGCCGCCCCCAGATTTGTATTGTCCAACATACGATTCAGTCAAAATGGGTTCCCACTCCGTTTAGGTTTCCTGGCCCGACGACGCAAGCGCATGTGTCCAGCATTTCTCTATCGCCAACCAATCGTACGAGAGATGTCCCGAGCCCCTGGGCACCAAAATGTACGACATCCAGCGGAACCGCTAATGTGAACAAAGTTTGGCGAAGGACCCAACCAAATGCAGTTGCGAATACCGCAGTTGTAGGTATCGTCGTCGGTGAAACCCCCATGTAGGGCCACGAAACGCTGTACTGGGTGGGGGGGGCTCATGCGGACTGCGCCATTGGAACCTTCGGTGGAGCTCCCTATGGGGCCGCGAAACGCTGTACTGGGTGGGGGAGACGCATGTGGGCTGCGCCATTAGAACCTTCGGTGGAGCTCCCTATGGGGCCACGAAACATTGTATTCGGCGGGGGAGACGCATGCGGGCTGCACAATTGCGACCTTCGGTGGAGCTCCCTATGGGGCCACGAAACGCTGTACAGGGTGGGGGAGACGCATGAGGGATGCGCCACTGGGACCTCAGGTGGAGCTCCCTATGGGGCCACGAACGCTGTACTGCGTGTGGGGGACGCATGCGGGCTGCGCCACTTGGGCCTTCGGTGGAGCCCCCTTCGGAGGCCACGAAACGCTGTACTGGGTGTGGCGGACGCATGCGGGCACCCCTATTGGTGCCTTCGGTGGAGCTCCCTATGGGGCCGCGGAACGGTGTACCGGGTGTGTTGGACGCATGCGGGTACACCTATTGGGGCCTTCAGTGGAGTTCCCTGTGGGGCCACGAAACGCTGTATTGGGCGTGGCGGACGCATGCGTGCTGCGCCACTGGGACCTCAGGTGGAGCTCCCTATGGGGCCACGAAGCGCTGTATTGGGCGTGGCGGACGCATGCGTGCTGCGCCACTGGGGCCTTCGGTGGACATCCCTGTAGGGCCACGAAACGCTGTACTGGGTGTGGCGGACGCATGCGGGCACCCCCACTTGAGCTTTCGGTGGAGCTCCCTATGGGGCCACGAAGCGCTGTACTGGGTGTGGCGGACGCATGCGGGCACCCCCACTGGGGCCGCCGGTGGAGCTCCCTATGGGGCCACGGAGCGCTGTACTGGGTGTGGCGGACGCATGCGGGCACCCCTGTTGGGGCTTGCGGTGGAGCTCCTATGGGGCCACGAAACGCTGTACTGGGTGTGGCGGACGCATGCGGGCACCCCCCCTGGTGCCTTTGGTGGAGCTCTCTACGGGGCCACGAAACGTTGTACTGGGTGTGGCGGACGCATGCGGGCACCCTCATGGGGCTTGCGGTGGAGCTCCTTATGGAGCCACGAAGCGTTGTACTGGGTGTGCGGACGCAAGGCCTTCGGTGAAGCTCCCCATGGGGCCACGAAACGCTGTACCGGGTGTGGCGGACGCATGCGGGCACCCCCCCTGGGGTTTTCGGTGGAGCTCCCTATGGGGCCACGAAACGTGTGAGGGTGTGCTGAAGCAGGTGATGACGATGTTGATGGTGTTGGTGATGATGGTGATGGTGATGATGCTGATGCTGATGCTGATGCTGATGCTGTTGATGATGATGATGATGATGATGCTGGTGCTGATGCTGATAATAATGATGATGCTGATGATGATGATGATGATGATGATGATGATGATGATGGTGGTGATGGTGGTGGTGATGATGATGATGGTGGTGATGATGCTGTTGATGATGATGGTGGTGATGATGCTGATGCTGATGATGCTGATGATGATGGTGATGGTGATGGTGATGGTGATGGTGATGATGATGATGATGATGATGGGAATGTTGATGCTGCTGTTGATGCTAATGGTGATGATGATGATGATGCTGAGGATGAGGATGAGGATGAGGATAATGATGATGATGATGATGATGATGATGATGATGATGATGATGCTGATGCTGATGCTGATGCTGATGCTGATGCTGATGCTGCTGATGCTGATGCTGATGCTGATGCTGATGATGATGATGAGGAGGAGGAGGAGGAGAGGAGGAGGAGGAGGAGGAGGAGGAGGAGAGAGGAGGCAGCAGGACGAGGAGTGAACGCGGGGACCGTTTCTCCAAAACGAGGACCCAACACCACAGGATGATTGGGAACAATTTGGCAGGCACAATGTAAATCATAGTTAAACATCTGGCGACGACGACGGATGGAGAAGATGCGTGCAATATTTGAATATTACTTGATAGCATTATTCCCAAGACATGGGCGAATCGTCAATAGGCCTGGTGAGCGCTGGACAGGCACGAAGCACGGACGATGTGGATTCTCCGTGGAGGCGTTTTTTGAAGGGCACAGCGTCGATGGAGCCTCGGAGGGTCCCATGGGTGTTCCCATCAAGTTGGCAACACAATGGCGCTCGCAGGGGTGTCGGAAGGGCGACGTCGGCTTGTCCGCGTGCGTAGTGAGCGACCTTCAGATCTGTTCAGCAGTCACCAGTTTGCAGGGATGCTCGATTTCGAGAGTCATGACCTGGCCTTTGGACTCCTGCTACGGTGATGCATAGCACACACCCCGCCGCCAGGGCCCGGCCACCTGAGGGACAATATCACGATATCCGAAGCTCGCGCGCCCGATGCAGTGCTGACCGTGCAGCCCTGTGCCCGCTTGGCTCTCGATGCGATTAGGGCAAGAAGTGAGGGGCTTCTTGCGGATATCTTCGCACCTCGAGCCCTTGCTTGCTGCGTGCGCAGCACCATCGAGGCCTCTGTGAGGCCTACTGGGCCCGCATCCAAGGCTGGGCAGCCCGGTCGATCCTTCTGTGGGCGCAGGGCGCCAGCGAAGCGTGGGCGGGCAGTTCCGGCCAGCGGGTGCCGCGCTCGCTCAGACCGCGCGGTTCTGGCACTTGAGAGCGTTGGATGCGGCCGATGCCTGCCCATTTGTTTCCTAAAAAGCGTATTTGTTTTAGCGCTCTGGGCCATAATGCTCGTTATATCCCTCGCTTTCCCCCCCCGCCATAACGTAACGCTTCCCCTACCCCCCTCCAGCCCCCTTCCCCCCCCTAGTGCGCCTCCAGCACTGCCATTGTGATGCTCGAAGACCTCCTTTAGGCTTCCAGAGACCTTCAGAGACAGCCGTCGTCGTCGTACTTGTACTCGTACTCGTACTCTCGTCGTCGTCTTCGTCGTCCTCGTCCTCGTCCTCGTCGTCCTAGTCATCGTCGTCGTCTTCTTCGTCGGCGTCGTCGTCGTTGTCGTGTTCGTCGTTTCAGTCGTCGTCATCGTTGTCCTCGTCTTCGTCCCAGTCGTCGTCGTCGTCGTCCTCCTCCTCCTCCTCCCTCCTCGTCCTCGTCTGGGTCGTCGTCGTCGCCGAGGGCCTTAAAGGGCCTTCAGACGCCTCCAGAGGCCTCCGGAGACCTCCAGCGACCGTCGTCGTCATCGTCGTCATCGTCGTCCTCGTCCTCGTCCTCTTTCGTCCTCTTTTGTCCTCTTCCTCGTCGTCGTCCTCGTCGCCCTCGTCGTCGTCGTCATCGTCGTCCTCCTCATCGTCCGCGTCCTCCCAGTCCTCGTCCTCGTCTTCGTCGTCGAGGGCCTCGAAAGGCCTGCAAACTCCTCCAGAATTCTCCAGAGACAGACCTCCTGAGAACTCTGAAGACCTTCAGAGGCGGCCATCGTCTTCGTCCTCATCCTCGTTCTCGTCGTCGTCGTCGTCATGGTCGTCCTCGCCGTCCCCGTCCACGTCCTCGTCTCGTCCCTGTCTTCGTCCTCGTCCGCGTCTTCCTCGTCGTCGTCGTCGCAGAAGGCCTCGAAGGGCATCCAGAGGTCTCCGAAGACTTCCTCAGGCTTCCAGAAACCTTCAGTGACAGCCGTCGTCGTCATACTTGTACTCGTACTCGTACTCTCGTCGTCGTCGTCCTTGTCCTCGTCCTCGTCGTCCTCGTCATCGTCGTCATCGTCATCGTCCCCGTCCCCGTCCTCGTCTTCGTTGTCATCGTCGTGATCGTCGTCGTCGTCGTCGTCATCGGCCGGCGCTCGGGCGCCCTCGTCGTTCAGCAAACACCAGTACAACAGAATAATGTTCGAAGGAGGGTGTGGGGGAAGAAAACACTGGTGCACGATGGTGCACGTATGTATTGAGCAGTACATCGGCCATATTGTACACGCGGCTGCGGCGGTGCATACTGTGCTGCGAACTGTGGTGCATGTTGTGATGAGCGCAGGCGCTGTGGTGCCCCAGAACCACACGGCGCGGGGGGGGGAGCATGACCCCCCCGCCTTTCCCCCCCCCTTACGTCCGTTATGGCCGCGAATCAAAAAAATGCTCGAAATGAAAGCGCCCGCAGTGCCAGGGCAAGGACCGAGGCCTAAGGCAGGCCTTCGTGTTTGTCCTCACGCCAGATAGTGTGTTTGTTTGGGGTCCCTTCGTCCTGGTTGGATGGCGTGGCTGGGGACGGGTCCAGGAAGACTTCGGGCCGAGGTGGGGTTTCTGTATGCGTGCGTGGACACTTAGGTTCCACGGGCAAACCCCTCACACAGTTTACCGCTTACTCCTTTGGATGGCAGTAGGCGTGTCCAACGCTCCGAGTCGCGGCCGCGGGCTCCCTGGCAGGTTGCGCACGACCCGGGGTAGCGCCCGCGCTTCTTGGGATCGCTTGGGGGAGGAGCCGAGGGGGGCTGGCTCCGTTGCAGCGCGGGCGGCGGCGTCGGCGCTCGAGGGTCCTACACCCCAGGCCGTCCTGGTTGCCGAGCCGTGGTCAGAACATTACCACACAACCACTGGACCAAAACAAAGGACGTGTTTCAACAATGTGTGTCAGGTGGACTCCGAACAGTAGTTTCTTCCATTATCCTTGTGCATTATCTGAGTGATGTAACCTGGTCTAAGGTATGTGGTAAAGGCTCTGTACCGCAAGATCTGTGGCGTAAGCTATGTGGTGCAAGCTATGTGGTAATGCGGTAGGCAGCATGAGGCGCCCACGGGACCCACGATCGCTCATTGATCGCGGATAGGGGCCCGATAGACCACCCCGTCCAGGACAGTGCGATTTCGCAATCTGGGGCATATCGCTGATATATCAGCCATGTATCGCCGATTCCAGGTTGACATGTCCCCCCCTGAGCTTGTCCCACC